CAAATATAAATAAAGGAGAGTAGGACGCCACTAATGTATTTAAAAACGCTGGAAGATAAAAGACTAATTTTAGTTGTAGGTACGTGAAAAAGTTCCTTAGATAACAATATAAATAATAAATATAAAACGAGACCTTATGTCACAGAGTAAATACAGTGAGAGGTAAATAAGTAATTAGCCAATCAGAAGGAAAACAGATATAAGACAATTGAAGAGGACGCGCAGAAACTATAAGAAAGGAACGCATTTTGGATATGATCGGACATAAAAGACAAGTGAAAGGCGGGAATGATAACCTGCCGCACAGAAAGAGCTGAGCGGTAATAGCGAGCAGACGTGCGTGCGTTAGTAAAATTGTCTATCTTTTTTTCGGATATTTTTTTCTTCTCCGAAATCGAATAGTAAATGAAGTTGGAAAATTAAAAATTAATAAATCTCTGTTGCAAAATAGTGACTGATTTTTAAATAAATTTCGAAACATTATTTAGAATTGGACGTGAAATTGGAAGCAGGACGATATCCAGCTGCAACATGGCGTGGAATCGCAGATATGAATGCAGCAACATCGTCGTCGAAGTTTGCCGTGGAAGTAACAAACTATAAATATTTATTTCTTCTGTATGAATATCAATGTGTTGTTAATTTGAAGTTTAAATGGTATAATAATAGAGAATAAAAAGGAGAACATGGCCATGTGTGAATGCGGAATCACAGATTGTATGTGTTTATAAACATGAATGGATAAATCGACTTGTGATAATATTTGCTCCTTTTTTGTTAATTTCTGTTATTTTCTGTATACTAACAGTTACATCAAGGTTCCGAAATGGTAAGAAATAGGAATTATAATGTTTTTCCAAAAGACGAACAAGTTTAATTTATACAAGTAAAATATTTATTATGTAATGTTTCGTGCTTGAAATCACGTACGGACCAGTCTATCGACCCACGATACAATTTTTTCTGTGTCCCGCAACGATTTCCTTATTCAATACTAGACGTAATACTGAGCAAACCAGAGAATGTGAAAACATAGATAATTGTTTTCTAATGAAAATAATTTTACTTTATTTATTTAAAAGGGGAAGTGGGTATCATTACTACAGTAGTCTCCTTTTTCAGAACTAAATTCCGATAACCTTACCATTTTTTCTTTCAAGTTTAAACCACTATTTATGTAAAACATAACCAAAATACAAATTGGAAAAAATATAATAATTTCATTAAAGATAGTTATACATTTCCTAAAGATCTAAAAACGTCTGAAAACATCGATTCAGAAATTGATAAATTCACTTCAAAGTTACATCTTCCGTATCTCGTTACGTATTTTAAATCTTATGTTCTCTTGAATCTTTCAAAATATGGTTTAAACAGTCCAAACATTTAAAAAAACCTAATTATTTCTATAATTGTATTTGACAAATATATGATAAAAATTCCATAATATTTCCAAATTTTACATTAGTATTTGTGAAGATTATTGTGAAATAACTGAAAGTAAAATTCATTTTATAATTTTAATAACTTAAAAATACAAAATGGCTAGTAAAATTCTGTAAAAATGTATAGGTAAATATCTTACTAGATTCTAAGAAATAATTACACAATTGTTGTACATTACAAGACACATTCTACAATAATAATGTCTGAATGGAAAATATTCTAAATAATAGTCTAAAGATAAAATTATTTTCAATATTTTTCATTCTCTGTATTTCCTATATCACACCCATCAATACAAGCAAAAGCACAATGTTTCAGTTATAAACACTGCCTTCAAATCGTGAAATCCGAATCGCTGTCACAGTCTTCCTTCTCTATTCATCCTCATCCATGCCATCAAATAACATCTGTTGAACTCTTGCTACATCGGTGAAGTATAATACATTTTTGGTACGCCATCCTGTACAGTAATAAAAACTACCTAAATACTGTCGTATATCTGAGACACATGTCTCTGTAGTTTTGAAGATAACATCTTTTGTAGCAGACCAGAATAACTAGAATGAGAATACTACCAAGAATGAGAATAACTAGAAAAGAATCACAAAAATAAAGGCAAAATAACAAAAATGTATGTAGATTGATCAAAGATACTTACGACTTTCCTGGCGTCGTATCTGAGTTATACTGGGCGCTGACCACAATGACCTGCACTTGAAAAGGTCTGCCACTATACTAATGTTTGGCTCTTCGCTATTAAAAAAGATAGGTGGGAAGAGCACACTCCATCAGGCGCACGATGTCAATACTTTCTCTTCTTATGAAGTAAGGTCGACAAAGTAAAAATGTAGGGCCACTTGTAGTAGACGACTTTTGGGAGAGCTAAAACAGAAAATGATATAGACGTTAAAACAAAACAAAACTTATATAAATAATTTCATTTCTATATTCATTCTTCATTAATTTTAGTTTTTAATATAAATAATTATAAAAACTAATACGTCAAATAAGACAAAATAAAATAAAATTATAAGATTAAAAAAGTTTTTTTCATAATTCGTTTACGTATACTACAAACCTTTCGCGTGTATCCGGTACAATAGGCACCTCTTAAACATCTTAAACATCCGGTCTGGTAATAATTGTCTGGTCTGTTTTTGCTAAAATATTCCCTTCATTAAAGAACTTCTAATTGAAAAGACCAATTTTTCACTGAACCAACAGTGGCCGATTAATGCAAGGATTCACTGCATTTTTCAGAGATTCTTGAACTAAAATCAGCAAGAATTGTGTGTGTACGACTTGACAAGCATGCGGACACACAATGTTTTCTCGTCTAGTTTTTAATTGAGCTACTCGACAATTGAAGGAAATTTCTGAAGATGTGTAAGGGAAGGCAGATGAAATAAAGAAGACATAATATTGTAATTACATATTTTATTAATTAATATTTAATTATTTTCTGTGCAGACGAAATCCCAAATGTCTTTCTTATATGTTAAAATGTGTGTGAGTTATACCTTTATAAACTTAACATTCGCAACAAAGTAAGCCACTGATGTTTGATGAAGCTATTTTTCTCTTTATTTTCTCCCACATATGTTTAAAGTCTTGGAAAACTCACAGTGACAATATTGGCGGCTCCAGCAATTCTACTGATTATGAATTGGACCAATACGATGACAGAGGCCTTTATAGAGTTCTTTATATTCTCAACTTGTTTAAATTTACTAGTATATACGATGAAAAAACATAAAAAAATAATTTTAACTTTTAATTATGTATTAATTTTTGCATGTACCACGGGCGTTACTAGTTCTTACGTTCTTGGAGCATAAACTTTTGAATGCACCTTAAAATTATTGCGCGAGTTTAAAAGACACCTAGGGGAAAATGCACATTCGCAACAAAATGGCCACCAACAGGATGGATGATGCAATTAGTTGTACTCCTTGGCTGGGGACTACATGTGTAAGTGCAATTTCTCCAAGATAAATCGAAGATTTTTTTGCCGATCGAGTCAGGGAAGGATCACTGAAGTTCACGTAGTATAATCCAAATCTCTCTCTGAAAAAGAAATATATGCGATTAATGCTGGCGATTTTGCGAATTGCAGATGAGATTCACTGGATTAGAGGTCTTAAAGGAAGAAAGGAAAACATTATATATACAAGGCTTTGGGCAGAAGTCATGGCAACTATATTTCTTTCTAAAGAGTGTTATCGGATCTCACAATTTCAGTTGTAGTGTGAAAGAAATGCTGTTGTAATGTGTGTTCCCAACAACAGATGGCCATGAGTGTCTCTACTAGCACCAACAGCAATGTGAAATCAGTTGTCTGACTACCGCCATGCCAGTAACTCGTTTCGAGCATGGCTCATAGTCCAAGAAAGCCGTTCTCCATGGAAGATGTGTCCGAGAATGTCAGGGAATTGGAGCCGTTGGAAACAATTGCCTTTCACACCGGGCTGTCGCGAGATGGGCAGGAGGTTTTCTGCAAAGTCGCAACCAGGGATCGACAACGCACGCCAGAACTCGTGTGTGCGGACCGATTTAGCGTGCGGTAATCGAACATCTGCCTTTTCAGGCTATTAGAACGGGTATGTAAGGCTTCTGCAATGTTGTGAACTTGTATATCCTATAATGCATTGAAAAATGAAGCCAGTATTGACATTTCAAATATTTTAGTAAATATGAGAAACCCAACCCTGTGTATCGTTAAATATTGCACTTAGTTCCTGCATATTCCTGCACCTATATCCTCCACTTAGTTCATACTTTGCTCTTTCTTGTGCATATTTCACATTTTCGACCCGTGACCGTATTCTCACAAAAAAGTAGTTGCCATGAATAATGTCCCCATATATAACCTTTTCTATGGATAGTATTAAAAGCACTTAATAAAATGACAGTAAAAGGTTTTTTGATGTATTCTTTTGATTTTTCAAAAGTATTTTTGGAAGTTGTTTGTAAAATTTCTAATTTGGCTCTCTGTCATTCAAAGAATTAAAAATAACTAATGAAAAATAGCCGGGTCATTTACTCACTGGTAACTGTGAAGCCACTCAAAATTATCGATCAGCGTCCACGCAGTATACCCGAAAACCTTGACGCCATCGGTATAAATGGCTTTATGCATTTCTCTTAGATACTCCTGCAACAAATCAACTTAATATTAGAAAAATAGGTTTTAATAATCGTGTATGAATACTCCTAGATGATGGATGGAAATACTGCGTGCGTCAAAATTGCATTTTGCTTCTGGGAATTGAATTATTATATATTTGTTTCAAGACACTAAAAATATGTGTATTATGATCATGAAGTTAGAGTAATATTCACAAAATATATTCCGATTTGTTTCAAATGGAAAATGCAAAACGTTTCAACAATTTAATTCTCGACAATTAACAAGCACAAACATTTCACTCTTCTAATCGTGCATTGATTGAATATCTACCGCCTGGAAAATTGCTCATGAAATTTCCAATAGTAATGATGAATCAGATATTCTTTTTAAAAAGTACTAATAATGAATTTCTTTGACTTTACAGCTGGTGGTGCTCGTGTCGCGCGTGGCCACTGAAGGTGAGTTGAATAATTAATTTCATATAGAAAACTGAGCGGTGATTTTATGAGACGCGCGAATGCAACTAAAATAAATGTTTCTTCACGTTTGCAGAACTTTGTCAACTTTCGTTTTTAGCCCCACTTCATTTACATGTCTTGTTCGTGATAACTACAAAATGTACAATGTTCAAATGCCCTAAATTGCTTCAATGTTTACCTCAAAGTATGTGACGCGGCCATCGTCGATGAGGATGCCGTCCAGAGTGGTGTTTCTGTCAGAAAACCCGTTTTCGGTTATGATTATCCTGACGTCACCATACGCTTTACGGATCCAATTCAGCAAATCACGGAATCCCGTAGGAGTAACCTGGAACGACAGAACATATTTTCATTTTTGATCAAATGAATGAATTAGGAATTGTTTCAATGCTAAAAGTTTCATTAAATACATTATCCGAGAGATTCCTGTTTCCGTCGCTCATGGTTTTCAGCACAGAAGCAACTAAAATGTCAATGGAACGATGTGAAAAGGTCGAAGTTGTCAATGTGAAAAATTCGCGCATTCAGTAAAAATTCTCCTATGCCTATGCCCACACTAATACTTATGCCCAAATATTTACATCGCATAAGCTACACTCTTATGAGCTCAGTCTCTTGTTCGAAATAAATGAAGGGGCGTCGTTGGAAGAGTAGACGAGGGGGAACGCCCCATCGCTATGCTTCGATTTTTGGTGACCCGAATTTGTTTCTGTCGTGGTCAAACGCAGGCGTCTGTGTTCACAGCTCCCCCCGGCAAGAGGAGCAATCGTGGCCGGACGCAGGCAGGCGGCGGCTAGATAGGTTGAGGGAGACAGAGAAGTAGAGAGAGAGATAGAGAGAGAGAGGTAGACGGAGACATTGAGAAGTAGAGGGAGAGATAGAGAGGTAGAGGGAGCGATAGAGAGGTAGAGGGAGCGGTAGAGAGGTAGAGGGAGCGGTAGAGAGGTAGAGGGAGGGATAGAGAGGTAGAATGAGAGTGTGAGAGGTAGAGGGAGAGTGTGTGAGGTAGAGGGAGAGTGTGTGAGGTAGAGGGAGAGTGTGAGAGGTAAAGGGAGAGTGTGAGAGGTAAAGGGAGAGTGTGAGAGGTAGAGAGAGAGCGTGAGAGGTAGAGGGAGAGTGTGAGAGGTAGAGGGAGAGTGTGAGAGGTAGAGGGAGAGTGTGAGAGGAAGAGGGAGAGTGTGAGAGGTAGAGGGAGAGTGTGAGTGGTAGAGGGAGAGTGTGAGTGGTAGAGGGAGAGTGTGAGAGGTAGAGGGAGAGTGTGAGAAGTAGAGGGAGAGTGTGAGAGGTAGAGGGAGAGTGTGAGAGGTAGAGGGAGAGTAAGAGAGGAGAATGAGAGAGGGAGCGTGAGAGAGGGAGAGGAAGTAACATTATTCATTGTTAACGGTGACTGTTGGAAGGCTATCTTAGGATCGGGTAGCATTACCCATTTGGTATTCTGTGATGTAGGATAAGATAATTCAGAGTTTTTATGTTAATATGTTACTGTTTTTTCGTGGAGGATATTTTTCTAAGTTTATCCTCAGAGTGTATTATTGAACGTATATTTAAACTTATGATAAATGAAACATGAATAGATTGACCTTTTTTTCATCTTCTGCGTGCACCGTGTCAACTTCAATAAACCAGTAAAAATATGGCTAAGCCTAAATAAATTACGGAATTATTAACACTTGCACTTTCTTTGATGTCCCCTTCCATTCGAAATGTAATGTGATAAAGACGCCCGTGGTCATGAGTACGGCAAACTGCAGAAAGTGCGAATTAAAACGCTACAAATACCTTTAACCAATCCGATCCGGATGAGGGCCAAGATTGGTTTTGTGTTATAATAGCTCCAGCATCACGATCTGCGGATGGTGTCTTGCCCTCTTCTCCTTCTTCCGCGTAGTTGGTTGTATAGTGGTTTAATCCAAAGAAATCAGCAGTTCCTTCAAAAAGAACATATTCAAACGACTGTTGTTTCAAATTTTCTTTTATTTTAAATTTTCTTTTCCTGTGTACCAAAGGACGGTATTAACATTGGTGCTAGAGCCATTTCTGGCAAACTCTCTATATTTTTGAAAACAGTCAATGTTAACACAGCAAATATACACTAGAAAGGATTTGAAATTCCAGTCTTAAAAAAATAATTTTTTAAAATATAATGTAAAGTTGTTTGAATGAACGAGTAATTTTGCGTAATTTCTTCTTAAAAATAATGCAAGGTATAAAAAAACATTTTATCAAAAAACGCTCCACCTTGTTTCTTCAATTTAAAAATTTTTGCAGGTTTGTTGCACAATACTTTAAATCATTGTATATTGTCATTAAAAACTTAGATTTGTGTAATAAAATATAATTTTTCGCGTTCCTAAAGCATCATTTGTCTTGTGTACTACAGGAGAAAGTTGATTTTCTTATTGATGCGAGACTTAACAGATATTTGTATATCGACAGTGTGGTGTTTTTCTTGCATTTTAACGAGACTTCTCTAAAAGAAGCCATATTATATGTAGTGTATTTGATGTAATATACGTAAGTACACTGAATTTGTAAATCTATTCACTAGAAAACACACGCAAATGTCTGAGATGCTGCATGACTTCTTTGCAAGTGTTTTAATGGAATATCATTTATTTATCAATAATTGATTTCTTAACAATTTCAGAATTTTTAAATTTAGTTTTCCAATTATATTTTTTTATTTCAGAAAAAGTCAATATTCAAGTAATATTACTCTAAATGACGCAGTGATATTGAATATTGATTCTTGTATCAAATATCACACTGTACAGATTCGTTCTATGTAATGAAACATTTTTCTTGCTTTGATCGGTATTCGGAAATGGTTTGTCTTTACCTAAAGTATTTGTATTTCATACCTTTAATGTAGTTGATTTCCTCCTGGGTGAACACCGGTAGGCGAGACCGCCTCAGCTTCTCCTTTGCGCTGTTGGCTGCCACTCTCTCCCGCATCACCTGCGGGTAGTTGCCTTCCTTGGAGAAGACGGGGTTCGCGAACCAGCCCAGCTAACACACAAGAAAGGAAACTTAGAAGCACCTGGCATGAAGTACGGAACTGATTCGGACGAATTTAAAATTCACGATTGCAATTTCAGAGAAACTTTTTCAAATTTTTGAAAATTTCAACTTCCCAATTACACGAATCATTATTTTACTACTATTCTCTGAAACATTTCTTGAATTGAGTAATTTGGAAATCTCGTGTGTTTGCACACGTAGAGGGGAAATGTCAAAGTTGTAGCTCGTGACGGTCTTAGGTGGCTCCGGGCACCAATGTTGTCACTGCTGTGTCTCTGACTGGAAGATCAAGGGTTCGAATCTCTACGGTGTCAACACACCCTGCATAGCGAAAAAAATCACAGTCTGGAGGAGAATTCTAGCGGCCGACTGCTCAGAATTCCTTACCGCAAATGACACCGCGAATTTTTCTACTGTTCTGCCTCGAATTTCTCACCGAGAATCCCCGTTACAATGATTCTTTCGTCACGAATACCGCGAACTCATGAGTTTTACTACGGGGAGAGGTTCAAAATCTTAGGGCCCGAACGTTTTAATCGCCTTCTCTAGAGTAACGATGTGTGTGTGTGAGAGAGAGAGAGGTGAGTGAGTGTAAGTGAATGTGAGTGTGAGTGAATGTGAGTGTGAGTGAATGTGAGTGTGTGAGTGAATGTGAGTGTGAGTGTGAGTGAATGTGAGTGTGAGTGAGTGTGTGATGGAGATCGCACTGGTCATTTAGACTCGGAGCCACGGGAGCGTTGCCCGTGGCCGACGATGGCTCACCGGTTGACGAAAGTTTTGGCGGAGACTTCTTGTAAAGAGTTCACCTACACACACCACGGTACCGGCAGCGTATAAGCGACCCTGACAGTTCGATGCGCTGTTGCCACACATTTCTACGCTCATGGCACCAAACCACATGACAAATAAATTCAATCTTAAAACATTAACACTACTGACAAGCGACGATTCGTCTTGATATCATGTTCATAACCTTCCCCACAGCAGAACCTTACCTTAACCATGTGAGTCGAATAAGCGGCAACGCTGACCGATGGATGTGAGAACGTAAAAATATCCTCCCAAGCATATTGCTTCGGAGCAGGTCACATGGCGTACCACAGCAAATGGCGAGTCAACTGTCAAAGTCGCTTATACGCTGCCGATACTGTAGTTAGATTTTCATTGATAATAGCCAGGCATATTTGCTCCTGCGATTATATGAGTTTCATGTTTTGTTCGAGTACGAATACGAATTATTCGAAATATATTCTAAACATCTGCAAGCAAATTTCAAATTTGTTAACAGATATTCTGGTTACAGGCGCTATCATGAATGATTCCTGAAATGTTGACAGAAAATTTTAGCATGTTATTGGACCCTTATAGGTGTTGTGGTGTGATATCTTTG